GGACGCGCGTTTCGTCCTACTTGGGACTCGTCAGCTGGATGTACCTGTATTTTACAGTTGATGTTGACTCTGGGACTCGAACCTAGTACCTTTCACTTCAAACGTCATCGCGTTATCCACTCGGCCACTAAGTCACTCAGCCACTATCTATCTTTACTTACCATGCTTGTGAGTTAAGGCTATATCGAGGCAATACGCACAGTATGTACATATGCCAATTAGAAACTGACCAGTTGCAGTGCTAACACATCGATGGGAAGATTCAAACAAACAATACTAAATGAATTTAGTCTTCTCGTTTGTTTGCGCGTTGGCAGTGATTAGTAGATAAATGTTAATAATCGACGCAGTCTCTGTTTGGAAAAAGGTTGAAAAATATCCATTAATTATTACTCGCAACATTCAGTGGACAGTGACAATAATATGGACTTTCAAGTAGTGATTCAAGATTTAGATCATATGATCAAGTACAAACTAAGTATTCGTCGACTAAACATGAAAACTGTGAAGTGAGATATTGTTTGTGCGTAGTTGTGTGAGTCAATATGAAAATACGTCGATATTACGTCTTGTGTGTTTACAAAACTTTATATTCACTTCAATATACAATCAACAATGTTCAATGCCATTATATGTAAATTCACTAGATACTATTGTTTTCATGAAATTAGAATCATTCATTTTACCCATAATATTCGTCTTCTGATATTTTTCTCACTGTCACATAGTTTACAAATGACTTCCTCTATTTCTGTTTACTGGATCATTGTGCTTCATTGATAGTTAGCTTGAAAGACAATTTTTGACTGTTATTGCTTGATTCACTTAGTTGACAATCTATAAGGGATAGATATCAAGTTTACCACTTTCTAGAAACAGGTATTTCTATTGAAAACTTTGATTACTCACCTTCTGAGTAAATCAACAACTCAATGCTCTGCATCGGAACATATTGAAGTAATTGATCCTGCTCTTTTGGTATATGTTGACTGCATAGACTATGTAAACTATTGAGGTGTTGCACAATTGTGCGTTTTATACGTATTTTTGTTTCTATCAGCATTTCTTATCATTTGATAAGAGTAATCGTTGAGTCTACCCCATACAGAAGATGAATCCAGGGTAATATTGATTCTGGACGTTACTCTCAAAGTCGAATGAAGATTGGCGAAATGAAATAGAACTATCACGCTTATTTTGCTGTTTAGTTGGTCGTATCTTTGCAAACGTATCCACCATTAGTCGATCTACCTTCTGCATAATATCTAAGATGGTTTGTTGAGAAATACGTTTATTTCTGTGCATCGTAAATTATACAAGCTGTGCAATACTCAGCGCTAATGGAAAAACACAAAATATGAGATCTTGGTTCCAGAGTGCTTTTTGATATTCGTCGTATCATAATTTTTCATCCCATCAAACATCATGATAACTAAATATTTATCGTTATTTATTTAAAAAAGATGGTTCGGAAGACTTTGACAAATGTAAGTGTAATACTTCCTACTATACAATATTGATCGTGGAATTAATACCGCATTATTATGCAACGTTGTCTGAATGTGGCAAACCAAAAGCTTTTGATTCATGAACACTTTTGAAATGAAGGAAACCTAATGCTTCTTATGACAGACTATTCAAGATCCAACATTCTTTAGCATTTATTACATTAGCGTTTTAGAAAAATAAGCTGAATTGTTTAGATGTTTTGCAGAGATATGCCACAATAAGTAAATGGCAGTTGTTCACCAATAGAAAGTGAAAGATTATCAGTACATTCAGTGTATATGTTGTTCTGTGTAGATAACTTCACAGAAGTCTACATTCTGAAACTGTTCATTTCAAAGCGAATAACTTAGATCCGTACAAGAAGACTTTCGAATTCACAAAATGATCCAATCAAAGTAGCCATATTTTTACCCATGTTATTAAATTGATCCTCATATTTATGTAGATATTCCTTCATTGATAATTGATATCTGTTGACTTAATACTACTTAAATGTAGGAATTCTAGAGAAGAAATATTTTGAAGAGACTATTCTCTAGTTTTCTTTTATATGTCGTTAGCTGTTGATATTGCTTTATAGGAGTTTATTCATCAACGTAACTGGAAAAATGTTTTCTTTTCCAGGTAAAACAAAGTGCTACGCAATGGAGGGACGTTGAATTCCCGAAACAGATTGCTCTTCGTTTTATCAAGTATCTTTTGTCGTACGTTAAATGCAATGATGGAAGTGAACATCTCATCATCTTTATGTCTTATTATCTTGGCTGTTTGTTAACTGTAATTAAAGAATAGTGACTTATCTTAATCAAATACATTCATAATATAATTAGCAAATTGTTTATATTCTGAACTTGTCAATGTTTATACCCTCTGAAATTTACCTCATGAAGCTCCTGACCATGTCTTAATTAACTACGATTGATAGTCATTCATAATTAGAATAGTGAAAGTTGTAAGGAAGCAAATAATTGAAACTGAACTATTTTGAGTCTACTTTCATATTCTGCTAATAAAAATACTCAATTGAAAGTGGGAGAAATATTTAAATAATTATCAGAATGGTGAACAGTGTAGATTATAGTAATCTTTACAGTTGAATTCACGAGTCGATCTAAGCTAGACCACCACTGAAACCTGGAGGCACCAGAGACCGTTTCATTTTAGTGATCAGTGGAGTAAACTCGGTGTCCGTTGTGAGACAGTTATCCACCTCAAATAATAGATGAAGGGTTGTGCAAGATCACATTAGACACAACATCATTGGATGCGGTCTCAGCTGTTTCGAGGTTAAGTGTTTGCACACGAGACCGAAAGTCCTGGGTTCGAGTTACGCATGTGGAATCATGGATGGGCACTACTGAAAAGCATCATACTAGGATGAAATATTTTTAGTTACGACAGTTTCTTGAACGCTCTAACGATAACATACAAACTGAACGGATAAACGTTAATCCATATGACACATGTTTGATATGGATTTGCGTCAGATAGATGAAAAGATAACTAGCTCTGTTATCACTTGGTAAACATCCGGTAAATGTTGCTAATATTGCTGAAGATTGATAATGAAGCAGCGCACCATCCATAACTGTAGGATGAAGAGCTATACTTACAAACAAACAAACCAAAGTTCTGAGTTCAAATAACACATGTGTACAAGTCCTCGTGAATGTAAGTAGTATATCATCTAGCAGTAAACCGTTCATTGATTTAGGATTTTAAATGTTTAAACATTACTATACTATCAATGCAACATGAGTCGTCTCTCCATGATGAACTTAGGTTTCTCACACTGCAAAATATTGAACATTATCCTTACCTCAATGTCTGATGTTCACGTTTTTACGTAGTAGGGAAAAGAAATTCTTACTTATTAATTGTATCAATAAAAGGTTTGATGGACAAATAAACTATGTCGTGGAGAAAATTTGTCAACATCTGAATCATTAACAAAATTGTAGAAAATTTGGAAAACTAAAATAAAAATAAGTCGGAGTCTCTCACCTCGTTAGTTATTCTTATATTATTTCTAATTTAAAATATGAGTATCATCAGAAGGGGTTTTGTGGAGATTATAATAATTTTAATAGTTGAGATCATAAATCAATTGAAGCTAAACCACCATGGAAAACCTGGAAGCACTGGACGGCCGTTTCGTCCTATTGTGGGACTTCAAAGCAGTGCGCATCCACGATCCCGCCTCGTAAGATTCGAATATAGGACCTATTAGTTTCGCGCGCGAGAACCTAACCACTGAACCACTGAGCCGGCATTCAAAGGTGTTAATATGGATGTGTCGCTAAATTTCGTGGATCAGTTGAAGTTAGACACTAACACTGTCGGATGCCGGCTCAATGATCTAGTGGTAAAGCACTCACGCGCGAAACTGATAGATCCTGTATTCGAATCTCGTCAGGCGGGATCGTGGATACGCACTTCTTTGAAGTCCCACAATAGGACAAAACGGCCGTCCAGTGCTTCCAGGTTTTCCATAGTGGTCTAGCTTCAATTGATTCATGATCTCAACTATTAAAATTTAAAATATGTGTGTTTTTGATTTCACTTAAAGGCTATACAGCTTTCTTTCTGTAATTTGTATAATTACGTAACAAAACTTACTCGCAATATAATAACTTCATGTCATTCAAATAATTATTATCAAATTATCAACAATGTGAACTTTATTGTAATTGTGTACAACCCGTAAAGCGGCCTGTTTGAATATCTAGGCTACCTGTTCCTGTTATCTGAATATTCCAACATGTTTTCTGTCTTTGTTTTAACACATCATTATGTCTACTAATCGGATAAACTATTCAGGCGCGTTTATTAAAAGTTTACAATCTTTCTATGTACAAGTTATAATAAAGTACAATCCGAGACATTGCGGTGGCTGGCAGGTAAGATACATTGAGATATAAATTTCTGAACTGTTGACATCTAACCTGGCAATTTATCATTAAATTCGATTAAGAAATGAGAAACGGGAAACCTGTTTTAAATACTACTAGAGAAAAGGAATAATGAGTTCAATGGTAAATAAAGTTATTTTACAAGAAAATATAAACATCTCAAAGATGGTGGAGAAGATTTATAGATCAGGTGGATGATTTTGATGGTGTTTTATTCTTTGAGCTGGATGGTTTGTTCGTGGAGCTTTTATCGTCCTTCTGAACGACATCATCAGCACAAACTTCATGTCTTAAAGAATCATCGCTAGTCTTTATTCATTGCCAAGATGTATCATTACTTTTCCTACGATGTAATCTATGAAATTACTGTAAATTTGAAAACAAAACAAACATTAATTTAAAGCGGTAACAATGTGAATTAATTTTATTTCATTATGTACTTATCATCCACTCCACCCCCCACCCCCCGAAAAAAAAGAAAACAGTCTTAAACAAGTAGAAGGGTGGAAAATTACAAAAAAAATTGGCTAAAATAAATTGTCACACCCAAACATCATTGTAACATGATTAACGTCTTCGCTAAACGCAATCCTTCGGTGTATTTTTACAACTTTCTTTACCTGAAATTAAAGAAAAAAAATGTCCCGTTATTTATTCAGTATACAATTTGAAATAAAAACTTTTTATTCAAAGTCAAACCTCATCGTAGTTTTTACGTCAGTTAGATGATCATTGAAAATAATCGTGGATAATGGAAGACACGGGCTCCAGGATCCTGAGGGAGTAAGTGTAGTATGAACCAATTGTTGGTCACCTGCTACCATGCGACTGCATCTCCTGACGCTGGTTTACTGTTTTGTGGATCAAACCTTTAGGTCAACGGCTCCGATTGTGGTTGCCTAAGAAAACCACTTGCTTCGATCTAGGCACTCGTGCATTATCATAGCCCACATACAAATCAAATGACTTGTGTGGTGCATATTTACTCGGTACCCCTGTTTACCAATATTTATGTAATCAAACATACTTAGATGTGAATTTTATTTTCTTCAAATAATTTAGGAAATTCTATTCTATTAAGTGTAAAAACAAAACTCCATTTTATCAGTAACCCATATGTGAATACACAATTCTGGCTTCTGATTGTCAATGGAGTACAGTTAACATAGAAAAAAATATATGGGTGTCTTCGCTTGGTTTAACAATCCGTGCCTTGACATCTGCATCGTAGATTCCTTGTTTATAAGTGATATTGTACATGTATGTAAAACACAATATATCAATATAAGCAAAGATGGATAGTGGCTAGTAGTGGAATCCAAGACGTGCGTTTCGTCCTATTTGGAACTCGTCAGCTGGATGTACCTGCTACCCACTATCCATCTTTGCTTACAATGCTTGTGAAATAAGGCTATATCGAGGCAATACGCACAGTATGCACATATACCAATTAGAGACTGACCAGTTGCAGTCTTAAACATCAATGGGAAGATTCAAACAAACAATATTAAGTTGAATTTACAATATTTCAATGTTTATTATGAATGTAAATACTTACACTTGTTATATCCTGGCAAACCCTCTCCTGTAATAATTAATGATATGAATATTTGTACTAATAAGGTTAACATTTACAGAATAAACTGAATTAAGTAAGATTGTAGTGAATAGTAGGGGTCAGAAATGTCACAACGGAGGCAGTGGTAACCACTGAAATTAAGCAAACGCCACGCTTTATCACAGACTGACTGAAGTCTAAACTGTACCACTAGACGTCCAGTCAGCTTTTCTAACGGTTACGTGTTGGCTGAGAGACAATAAGGTTCTAAGCTTGATCTATGTTCGGGTCACTTTCTAAGGATTCGCAAACCAAGACTAAACTCCTCTCTAGTGCTCTTTAGTTTCCAGTGACATTTCAAACGAAATTAGTCTGTGGCGGATACAATGTATAACATAATACTGGTTTATAATTCTCAGGTGCACATGACTTCATGTATATTGATCTTTAAACTGTAGAGAGCTACAAATAAGATTACGAAGCTGATATTAACCTCCGTGCTAGTAGTATCGACCACTAATCTCTACATTATAAATGACTGTATGTTATTTACTTTAAAATCGTTTTCCTATTTTTCAAACTGAACATTCCTAAAGCTTCAGTCAATTCCATTGCATAACCAATGGGATAGTTTTTAGCAAAAATTTCTAAGCCTGACTTTGTTATAATGAGAGTAGAGTTTAGAACAACGTAATGTACATACGTTTACAAGCTATATAAAAACGAATTCTTTATGAAATAGTCCTTCAGACATAAGTTTTGCTCAAAAATTTGGATGCCAATGGTAGCAACTTCTCATAATGTGATAAACCTTTATGAAGTCTTGGTCTTAAATCATTTTGATTCTTCTCTACGTATCTGAAGAAAATCCACTTCACAAGACCCATTCTTGGTGAGATGTAAATCTTTTTAACTTTACATTTTTTATTGGATGTTGATGATGGTTCAAAATATTGCGATTGGAAGTCTTTAGGAATTACTGAAAGATTTTACTTGGTCTGCCTTTTTGACCAACAATTAATGAACATTATCAGAAGGGGTTTTGTGGATATTATAGTAATTTTAATAGTAAAAATCATGAGTCAACTGAAGCTAGACCATCATGAAAAATTTGGAAGCACTGGATGACCGTTTCGTCTTGTTGTGGGACTCCTCAGCAGTGCTATAATATCCATAAATAATCAACATATGCTCACTAGTGACTGACTCCATGAGGTATTTCCTAGAGTTCAAGTGAGAAGCAGTGATTGGTGGAGTTCAACCGCGTCTGTTGTGACACAGTAACTCACTGAAGACATTGGTGGATGTGACAATCAATTTTGTGAATCGGTTGAATTTAGAGATTAACACCGTTGGATGCCGACTCAGTGGTCTAGAGGTTAAACGCTCGCGCGCGAGACTGATACATCCTGGGTTCGAATCTCGCGAGTTGACATCGTGGATGCGCACTGCTGAAATATCCCACAATGTGACCAAACGGTCATTCAGTACTTCCAGGTTTTTCATGGTTGACTAGCTTCGATTGGTTCATAATCTCAATTAAAATTAATGAATACTGTTGTAGTGAAGAAGAATACAGGTGAGAACAACTTGATGAAATAGAAAAACCATACTCTAATACTTCATTTGCGAAATGTTCACTAATTGTCACTGACTACAACGTTCCTACATTTCTATACCAATTGCTTTCTGTTCCGATTCTTCCCTTCTCGATCTTCTCAGTCTTCTTCTGACAGATATTCTATTCTTGACTCACAATATATACCACTTATGTCGATATAATTAGCACACACCACACTATACTTGTATACTTGTCTTCGATTCCTCAGTGTCTCTACCTACAACTGTGTATATCAGTTTTCACAGATAACAGCATGATTTTCAGACGTACATTTTAGTGATAGATTATTATTTATAAACATCAAAGAAAGACGTTTTTGTATTCTATATGATAATTGACTGTTTTATGGAAATCACATTTCATTACCGAACAACATTAGCTGTATTTTATTGGTTATCTAACTGACATCAATCGATAAAAATAGCTTCCTACTTTTGTATATCTCCAATCTACATGTAGTAGTTATTGTATATAACATTCTCAGTTATTGTTTCCTAGACTAATAAATTTTCACTTTCTAGATAGATGACCATGGAAGAACATTACAGTATAAACTGAATCAACTTAAGCAAAGATGAATAGTGGTTAGCAGTACAATCCAGGATGCGCCCCACTTCTTCCTATTTCAGACTCGTCAGCTGGATGTACCTGCATCTCAGAGTTGATGTTCACTCTGAGACTCGAACCCAGTACCTTTCACTTCAAACGCCATCGCGTTATCCCCTCGGCCACTGAGTTCTGATAGCCACTTAAATCAATCTAACTATTGATTCCAATGTTATATGAGTTAAATTTGATTCAAATATTGATCATTGAAAGAATCTACAAAGTAGATCTTACCTTGACGACGTTTATCTCGATCTACATTTATTGAATAGAAATAAAATCACTTAGGTCAATAGAAGATTCCTTTTTCAAAATAGAAGATGTAATTTAGTTTATAAGATGAATAACGTTAAAAATAAACTACTTTGGCATTAAACTATCGTTTTCTTCAAGTTCACTTAGTATTACTTGTTTGAATCTTCCCATTGATGTTTAGAACTGCAACTAATCAGTCTCTTATTGACATACGTGCATATTGCGCATATTGCCTTGATATAGCCTTAATTCACAAGTATTATAAGCAAAGATGGATAGTGACTGACAGTGGAATCCAGGACGCGCGCCACTTCTTCTTATTTGGGAATCGTCAGCTGGATGTACCTGCATCTCAGAGTTAATGTTCACTCTATATAACGGGATGGTGTTTGAAGCGGAAGGTACTGGGTTCGAGTCTCAGAGTGAACATCAACTCTGAGATGCAGGTACATCCAGCTGACGAGTCTGAAATAGGAAGAAGTGGGGAGCATCCTGGATTGTACTGCTGAACACTATCCATCTTTGCTTACAATATCGTATTCTTCTTTGATTGAAAATATTCTATATTAAAAGCATAGCCAAATGTTAGTTATGTCTCGCATCTGACAATATTGGGTGCAAAATAATGCATATAAGCCATTCGATTTGTCGAAATAAGAAGCAGTTTAACTATAGATTCAACCTATTTATATTCCATTAGGTTTTGAAACAGTGATTTTGATAATATTGTTAGGAAGATCCAGAATATTCCTCATAGAAAGCCCAGATAGGCCCTGAAAACGCTATGAAACATTTTACCCAATCAGTATTGAATAGAAGTTTCAAAGAAACACCTAGAAAGTGATTGCATGATTACCTATCCTGCTAGTATGCTTACTAGGGTTCCAGAACCTTCCACAAGCCCAAAGCCATCTGAAATACTATCAATACCTTAAATTCTCTGTACATAAAATAACCTTGGAATAAAACGTTCATTCTACATTTCGTTCCTTTTCTCTTGTGTTCAATTTGTTGTGGAGATTTAGCCTGATAGTTTCCAGAAAAGGTTAAGAAACCCATTCATGCGTTCACTTAGAAGATTTGTCAAATATAACTTTTAGTCTAGACTATTTCTCAGTAGCACAGATGTATGCAGTCACTCAAATCATAATGTAGACACTCTGAAAATGATATATACTCAAAGAATGATTAAGCGGACAAAATAGTAAAATCATATATTCTTCCTTCATGGATTCCAAACTGATAAAGTCAATCACTTTAAGGTACTTTTTAGCTAGTGCTCTCCGAATAGTTAAAAAGATAATTAGTCCTATCTAACTTAATAGATTGTCTTATAATATAGAAAGAAAATGTAAATTTATAAGTTTTACTTTAGTTACTTACTCTTCCAATCACAGTTATACAAACCTTTAAGTGAATTAGAATAATACATGGGATCTTTTAAGTATACATATCAATAAAATCAATCACTTCTCTTCCTTTTTCTCACATTTTCTGTCAGCAAAATTAAATTAAGTTTAATTTTTCATAGTTGAAATCATGAGTCAACTGACGCTAGACCATCATGGAAAATCTGGAAGCACTGGATGACCGTTTTGTCCTATTGCGGGACTCCTCAGCAGTGCTCATTCACGATACCGCTCACTAGTGACTGACTCCATGAGGTGTTTCCTAGAGTTCTAGTGAGAAGCAGTGACCAGTGGAGTTCAACCTCGTCTGTTGTGACATAGTAACTCACTGAAGACACTGATGAATGTGTCACTCAAATTTGTGGATCGGTTGAAGTTAGACATTAACACCGTTGGATTCCGGCTCAGTGGTCTAGAGTATAAGCGAGACTGATAGGCCCTGGGTTCGAATCTCGTCAGGCGGGGTGGTGGATGCGCACTACTGAAGAGTCCCACAACAGGACGAAACGACTGTCCAGTGCCTCCAGGTTTTCCATGGTTGTCTAGTTTCAATTGACTCATGATCTCAACTTTACAGAAATTCTACTTGTATTTTCTTATTTGCGTCGACATAATCCTCTGTCTAAATATAATCGATTGGAACTTGAAAAAACTTTGCAGTACATTATTCCTTACGATAATAAAATGTTCATGAAATCGATAAATCTTAGAAACAGTACACCAGTTTTTTACTGAATTGTGTTCACCTAAACGAACACAAACGACCCGAACGATTTTGTCATACAATGTTATTGTAAAAATACTAATATGTGGGTGAGAATTGATAATGATTGGTTGTTTGGTTAGTGAGACTAGTAGATAGTTTGACAGGTACTAGATGAGTTATATATTCTCCTATCCTTACTATTACTGTGATTGCTGACCGATTGCGTTGGATTGTTGTCAGAATTTTAGTGTAAGAATACATATTTACCTTCTAATCAGACTAATCACATGTTTTCGATTTGATTTGTGTTGAAGTCCTGTAGAAAAGACACTGGAAGGGAATCTCGTGTAGATATTCGCTTAGGTAAATTAGCGTCACATTCGTATAGACGTGGAAAACCGAGCGTTATAACAAATATAAAAAATGACCTTACATGTCATAATCAGAAAAACATTACTCAATAATCTTAAACTGAATTAAACTCAAAGAACGACTTTTTCGACAAAGCTGTCGTCTTCAACAATTATTTCTATGATAATGTTCAGGAAAATAAACTATTACCAAATATAGCATTTTAATTCTTCACTGATGCCATTAAACATTTGCTTTTATCAAGTTTATTATTTTTTTTTAAAATAAATGACAGATCATTTCGTTTGAAGAAGCTCTGAACATCGAACATCTTTGTAAACTAGATGAGCATCGACTTTAAACAAATGTGACATTAAGTCTTGGAAATGATTATGTCAACTGATATTGAGAAGGTAAATAGAAATTTCCACTTTTAATGAAAACTAATAAAATCAGACTGGTAAGTTTAAATCAGCAACATCTATTAGACATGTTTAGTTCTAAACTTCCTGTAAGGTATATCAAGATGAAACAGATCAACTGTAACAAGATAGATTCTCGACTTTTTCGTGTTTTTGATCAAAACCAAATAGTTACTTACTTACTTACTTACTTACTTACTTACTTACTTACTTACTTACTTACTTACTTACTTACTTACTTACTTACGCCTGTTACCCCTCATTGAGGAGCATAAGCCGCTCACCAGCATTCTCCATACAACCCTGTTCTGAGCCTTCCTTTCCAGTTTGTTCCGGTTGTTATTCATCCTTTTCATATCTACTTCTATTTCCTGGCGTAATGTGTTCTTTGGCCTTCCTCTTTTCCGCTTCCCTTCCGGATTCCAAGTTAGGGATTGCCTCGTAATGCACATTGATGATTTCCTTAATATATATTTTATCCACTTCCAACGTCTTTTCCTTATTTCCTCTTCAGATGCAAGCTGGTTTATCCTCTCCCATGAAACGCTGTTGCTGATAGTATCCGGTCAGTGAATGTTGAGTATTTTGCGTAGACAACTGTTTATAAATACTTGTAACTTCTTGACGATGGATGTATTAGTTCTCCACGTTTCAGCTATGTACAGTACGACTGACTGTCTTGACGTTCGTATTGAAGATTCTCACTTTGAAATTGGTTGACAGTTATTTTGAGTTCCATATGTTCTTCAATTGTAGAAATGCTGCCCTTGCTTTGTCAATCCTCGCCTTTACATATGCATCCGATCCTCCTTCTTTATCAACGATGTTTCCAAAACAAAACAGTATCCACTGAAATTCATTTTCCTTAAGTTATTCTGAGTAAAACGTTGCATTAATGTAATGGAGAAGCAGGAGTATTCCAATGGGTATTTTTTGAAAATATCATAAACCAATGACATTGTACCACTGAAATACATCAAACAGAATCACTTAAAGAAGGCTATATCTATGATAAATAGTATAATCTTGATCGACCGATTCTAGTATTTCTTTATTAGTTTTCATTAACATGGCTATAAAAGTGCCCTGCTTGTAAAATTTGAGCTTCCAAACTCGGTTTTAGCAACATCCCAGACAATGATCCTTGCATTACATCTCCGTCTAATTAAAACTATTTGAGATAATTATGATATAAGGAAGTTAGTATGAAAATTACTCACAAATAGGATATGGTCCACCATCATCTGATAAAATGTAGAACAGATCATCCAATAAGAATATCAGTATGGAATTCAGTAAGCACTATCAATAATATTATATAACATCTTAACTGGTATACAAAAAGTTTAAATTTCATCTTTAAACATATTACAGATTGTTAGTAGGGGGTTATGTAGATTGTTGAATCTTAATCTATGACTCTGTATACGGTAATCGAATACACGACCTTTTATCTCGCGAAAACTCTTTGCGTTCAGACAAATGAGCTAGCATCAAACAGTATTAACTTCTAACTTAAACCAATCCACTATATTACTCGATAATCTTACATTGTCATCGAACAACAACTTTCTCACACCTGACAGCTGAATTACACTGGTCACGGCTTCTTACTAGAAATCTGAGAATTATCTCTCGAAGCCAGTCACTAATGAGCACATGATAATTATCAGTGGAGGGTTTTAATCGGGCTGATTGATTCATAATTTCAGTGTTATTCAACAGTCTTCACTACCCGAAACTGAAAAGTTATCATCTATTCACTAATGATTAGCTTTGAGATTTAATTCTCGGACTTCTAGTGAGAAGTCATGACCACTTAAACTAATCTGTGTTGGTTATGAGGCAGTTACCCATCGAAGACAATCGAAGATGGTCGTGAAATATAGTATATCGGTTGAAGTAAGATATTAACACTGTTTGATGCTTGCTCAGTGGTATAGAGTTCAAGCGTTCTCGCGAAATCTAATGACCTGTGTTCGACTCCTGCTCTCTGTTTCTCATACAAGTACGAAACGCTCGTCCAGTACTTCCAGGTTTTCAATGGTGGTCTAACATTGATCGGCTTATGATCTCAATGTTATAAACAATTTCTTACTGGTAGAATTAAGATTCATTTTATTTTGCAATTCTTCAATTTATCTGCGTTAAATTAATCTGTACCCCAACTCCAAAGCTTACTCAAACACTTATCTTGATAATTTGTAAGCTACGTCGGTACGCATGGAATTACAGATTAAAATGTAACTTTTCATCAGTGATCTCAGCAATAATAGTGCATTGAAGGCAACTAAAATAACAAATTAATAAGTATTGACCTATCAAATAGTATATATGAAGTACTATTGCGATAGATATAAGTAGTATGTACCATCAATCGAAAGTGAAATGTCTAGAGGCAGAAGGTTAAGAAGATCGAACAAAAGAGAACGAGAACAAAGATTGTTTGATATGAGAACGAAAGAACAATGAAATCTGAGACGAATGACTGACATTTTACAAATGACGTATTCGAATACATTCAATTGTCCCCATTGTTCTCGTTCACCACAGTATAGTTTAGTATTTATGAAATATCTTGTATGGTTTTATTCATATATGTTTCATAGAACAAAACCACTTACTTGACTTGCAAACTTCGTCACCTAAACAAATATTACCAGGAATATTTTAAGGGAACAGCTTGATAAAACTAATAATTGTAAATTAAAGCAAAACATTAAGGAAATCACCAATGTGTATTACAAAGCAATCCCTAATTTGGAATCAGGAAGGGAAGCGGAAAATAGGAAGGCCAAAGAACACATTAAGTCGGGAAATAGAAGCAAATATGAAAAGGATGAATAACAACTGGAACGAACTGGAAAAAATTACCCAGGACAGAGTTGTATGGAAAATGCTGGTGAGCGGCCTATGCTCCTCGACGAGGGGTAACAGGCGTAAGTAAAGTAAAGTAGTAAAGCGATACAGATTGACCAATAATAACTCTATTAGAATAAGTTCTTACTTGCACTATTGAACAATCAGTTCTAACTTTCAATTATTCCTATCAAATATTCTAAGGTAACTCAAATATTTGAATAATTTACAGCTTTAATTAAATATTTACAAAGTTTATTAATGTTTCTTTTACAAAGTTCCTTAATTTCTTCAACTGACAACAGACATCTGGAGTTTTCCATTTCATATAACATACATCATCCATAGAATACATCGTTAGGAACTGAATCGCCTTGTTATCCTAGTCAGTTCGACGTATAAATTAAAATGCATCTTTAAAGTCTCTTATTAATGTTCATCATTCTAATAATCATCAGATTTCCCAACTCTTACCAAAAGCATCATACATCCCTTCCTGCAAGTTTAAATAAGGCAATCTGTATAATATAAAACCCCGCCTATAGCTCTTCTAGAGTTACTACCGGTCTCAAGACCGGGTAAAGGAGCACGGCTTGGCATGGGGTTAGCGAACCCATTCCGTAGAAAAACTAACTCGCTAAAACAAAACGCTAACCAGAAAAAATAATTCAAACTATTTAAACTCTGCCCTGGGAGTAGGAAGAATAATTACGACGCCTTATGATGAAAGCTGAGACTTTTCAGAAGTCATGAGGCCTATGCTGCTTCTAACAATCACAGCAACACTCTTTATAGGTACATGGAACGTCCGGACAATGTGGAAGACCGGGAAGACCAGTCAAATAGCAATAAAAATGAGAAGATACAAATCAGCAGTACTCGGAATCAGCGAAACCCATTGGACACAAGCTGAACAGCAAAGGCTAGGTACGGGAGAGATGCTGTCTAATATAACATATAAATATACTGGTCCGAAATAAAGGTTGACAATAACTATTAGATGAATTTTCTTAAACCATTTTCAGCACAATAAGACACTTATTCAACTTACACAGTTCGCGTCGATGGGCTAAAAAAAAAAGTAATCAGTTATATTGTAATTGTTAAAAGATCTGTAATTTAATTTGAATTCTATGAGTCTCAAAAGTAAAGCAACTCCCACCTAGCTGATTTCCCCTAACAGTTAATTAGAATTTGATCAGTGCTAACAGATAAGACAAGTATGACATTAGTTACATGTATATTTCACTGATGAATGCCGAACTGAACAAAACTTAGTGTTATATCCCGAAGACAACTATGAAGGGTAATTCTTGAGGATTATTTACGGACCAATATGATATGTATATTTCCTATTGTATAATTGTTAAGTAACTAAAATATCCATATTCGTGTCCCTCTTATTATAAGCTTCATTTTGACCTATAGACTATTATTATACGATTTACCATTCATGAGTTATCCCTAATCCATTAATTACTGTTCTCCCTATTCACTGCCATATTTGGCCAAATCTTGTAGAAATATTATTTTCTATTTTATGGGACAATGTGGTCAGTTTATTTGGTATATAAACCCAGTATGTTTGTGAATAATGATTCATATTGAAGAGGCTGTTATTGATGTCCTAAACTTAACTGGCTGGGCTAGGCAGATAGCAGGACTGTTAAGTACTCAAGACTGTTCACACGGCTTTTGTGTATCATAGCTCTGATCAATAATTCGCTCCTCTCTGATTGGCGGGGATCAGCACGTTCATATATCAAACAGGGCAGGTACACACGCACTCACACGTGATAACATCTAGGTTCAGAGATTTCTGTCGATAACTTTCAGTCAGATTACAAAGAATATAATCATTATACACTTTTTTCTCACGTTTAGTTTCGTCTCTACAAATCTCTAATCGTATTTTACGTTTGACTAGTTGTAATAGCGCTATTCAATTATGCAAATAACTCGAATCTATTCGAAAGAATAACGGACTTTAATAGAAAGCAAGGAGGTCATATAAAGCTTTTAAATAACATACTGTACATCCACTGTACATTCATGTTTATTTATGCAAATCTTTGTTTAAAGTAGGAAAATAAAATTTCTTTCCAACTAAACAGAATACAACTACTGTAGAAGACTTCTACTTGAAGTTTCTGCTGATGATGACGTCGTTTAGAATAACGATGAAAGCTCTATGATCATACCATTTAGCTCACATGATAAAACTCCACCAAGATCACGGTATTTAATACCATTAAAACTATTAAACAATTTCGTTATAAACTTCAAATTTGATAAAAACTTGACTACTTACAAACAGAATTACAATATTGTTGACCTTTGAATGTGTTTTAAACAAAGTAAAAAGTAGAATAATTGAATTCATGAATCAATTAAAGCTAGATCATCATGGAAAACCTGAAAGTACTGAATGGCTGTTTCGTCCTAGTATGGGACTTCTCCTTAAATTCTATATTACTTCGTCGAAATTTCTACATTTTAATGTTGTTACATTTGCATAGATTTAGAATCAAAATTAGTATTCTACATGTTATATCCCGACGATAATTATGAACGGTAACTCTTAAGAACTATGTATGACGATGATTCTCAGGAAACATTTGTGTATCAATTTTTATCAGATCAAGAAACATCGTTGTACAGTATGAATATTGAACAGTTTCCAAGGAAACGTACAAACCTATGTAATTATAAGCAAAGATGAACAGTGGCTAGCATTGAAATCCAGGACGGGCGTTTCGTCCTATTCGGGACTTGTATGCTGGATGTACCTGCATCTCAGAGTTGATGTTCACTCGAGGCAATATGCATAGTATGCACATAATCCAATAAGAGACTGATCAATTGCAGTCCTAAAAATCAATGGGAAGATTCAAACAAACAATACCAAGTGAACTATGTAATTATAATTATATATCCAAATTAATAAACCAAAAAATGGCCACGTTAAAGGCAAAGTACATCTTTAACCGCTTCTCTTCCCTTGGCCAACCTCGAAGCCAATTAATCAGTAGTAATCTTAGCTATTGAATAACTTAATTTGACTATTATAATTACGACCTTTCGTAGTCAAATGTAATTGTCTCTGTTATCCTTATTCACTTATCCTTATTTTCACTTGTTTTTGTTTACTGGTATCTTACCATTGTTATTTTGGACAGCAATTGATCAGTCTCTTGTTGGCATATGTTCATCCTGTACGGACTGCCTTCATATTGCCTGAAGTCATAAACTTTATAAGCAATTATGGATAATGGCTAGCAGTGGAATCCAGGACACGCGTACTATCCTAATTGGGACTCACCACGGAGTGAACATCAACGCTGGGATGCAGGTACATCCAGCTGACCAGTCCCAAATAGGACAAACGCGCGTCCCACTACTAGACACTATCCATCTTTTCTTAAGATTATGATTATTGTTTTTGAGTGACTTTTATCCATGTATCCATTTTCAATTACATCATTGTATTTGATAATCTAATTTATTCACTTACATTTCGGTTCACCTAGATTTGAATCATCTGCAATAAGAAAGAATAATTTGCCATGTTTACAATCAACAGCCTTTAATATTTGATTATGCATTGAAACCTGTAAACCTACAACTGTTTACTCACTGAGTACTGATCAATTTCATGTTTATTTTATCTTTTCGTATTATTGAGATTGAAATGTATCCATTTGTCTAGCTGACCCAGTAACTTCAGTAGCCATGGAAACTATTCAGTTATCAATCTTACATGGAATATTCCAGGAGTGAACACCTCATTTAACTTGAATCCCACGGGGATTATCGGTTTCATCGAAACTGTAAATATTTTTGTCCAATATCGCTAACTAGCGCGGAACCTGAGCCAAGTATTCCTCACAGACCACCTCCAACCACCTGACACACTGTAGGGATTTTAAAATTTAGTTCCCATAGTATATTGAAGCTTTATGTTTCAAAGAATTTGATTTTAAACTTTATATGAAGTTTGATCGTAACAAAGATTACTATTCGGTAAGTAAGTTTTGAACTAATCGGGACTCGACAACTGGATATGCCTGTCTTCCAGTGTTTACATCTGTCGTCTTTCTAGAGATTTGTATTTTCTTTTACTTACTATTTATTATGATTAGTCTAGAAGACTACTGAAGTGTGGTCTAATTCACTCGGGTATATTTTCCTAGTTTACATGAATAGACTTGTTAAAAATCTCAGACTTGAAGATGCGTTTCATTCATATATATGCACATAACACATGGAATTTATCGTCTAAATAAAGGTTAAACCAGAAAAATTGATTCATTAAATTCAACACCTTGTTAAAACTTCGTTACAAATTAATCCTTACCATAACAGAGTCCATAGCCTTTAAATGTATGTAAAGAAATTTCTTGTTGTCAGAATGAGACTGTTGGAGATTATAGTATTTTTTATTATTGAATTCATGAGCCAATCAAAGTTAGACCAACAATAAAAACCTGCAAGCACTGGATGTCCGTTTCGTCCTAGTATGAAACTCATCAGCGGTGCGGATCAGCTATTGAAGTTAGGTGTTAACACCGTTGGATGCCGGTTGATTCAGTGGTCTAGAGTCTAAGCTTTCGCATGCCAAATCGAAGGTTCTGGGTTCGAGTCCCACGTGCAGGACTGTGGATGAGCACTACTAAGGAGTCCCATACTAGAACGAAACAGCCTTTCACTGCTTCCAAGTTTTTCATGGTGGTCTAGCTTTAATTGATTCATGAATTCAACTGTCAATTTTTTCTCTTTTCATGTAGTCTTTAAAGTTTGAAAACGTTCTTACTAATTGTATAACAATCTTAATATTCCTTTTCTTACTATAAACAGTTATATATATCTGAACAATTGTCATTTATACAGTGATTAGTATTTCTAACATGCTGCCATTTGGCTAACAATAGTTCATTAATAAATCCTTGGTTGTATATACAATCTGCCTGATTTAAAAGCAATTGTTTATTTTATTTTATTTAAACACATAAATATTGGTACAAGGAGGCACCAGATAGATATGTGCTGCACAAATCTCATTTGAGTTGTGTGAGGAGTGTGATACTGCCCGTATACCATAACCGAAGCAGTTGGTTTTCCTGGGGGGCCACACCCGGAGCCTTAGACCTAAAGGTCTTATCCACAAGGCAGTGGAGCATGGTGAGGAGATACAGTCCCATGGTAGCCGGTGACCAACGATTGATTCATATGCCATTAGTTCCCTCAGGCTACTGCAGCCCAAGTGCACCATTGTTTTGGAATCAGGGTTTTCCAACTCCCCTAGGTGGACTTTCCATGTCCACCAACCCGGTTGAAGCACCGAACATTCGCTTTTCGTCTTCTCAATTCCGTAAACAACACCCTCGCCATGAGAAGGTAGTGAGTAGGACTTCCCCGACAGATGCTATATACGCTTGGCCATGTGAGAACATTTGGAGACGGGAGAGGACTCTTTCCACTCTCGACCGTACCAGGGCATTTGGGGGAAAAGCAATTGTTGAACTAGTTACATTTGTAGTTTATAGCTCAATGATGTTTCTCATTTTGTCATGATCTTGTTTTCATTCATTTCATCCAATTTAAATGTTTGTCTTAAAGATTTTTCACATTTAAACTTTTTGTGTAATCTTAAAGCAAACTTATCAATCACATTAATAGTGATCATTTGCAGACATATCAAACATCTATATAGTATGTGATTACGCAATGAAATATGTTCTATCTTCATGTTATCAGTTACGGTCCCTCAATATTCCCATGTAAATGAAGCTAGAAATATAAACAATGGATTCTAACTCAGTCGCCTGAATATGAAGGAAACGTCATAGAATACCGAAAATCCTGATTTCCATTACTGAGAAATCCGAACAAAATATCTCTCTAATGCCAGGTTTACTCTTAATTAGTTTGCAACCAATGTATGTGGAACTTCATATTTTCTAATTGTATATCAGTTTAATAAGCATAAGTATGAATTTAAAATTATTCTGAAGGTTACTTGAGTTAATTTTGGAACTTACATCGACGGTATTGATCTTCTGTTTGTGCTGTAATTATATAAAAATACTGTTGAAAACGTTTTTCATCAAAGCACAGAATACGTTTATACATGACTGATGTACACATAAATTAACCGCTAATTTAACTGTATTAGTATAGCTGCCAAAGAGATGCCGAGGAAAGTGTGGTTCCGCGGAGAGAGAGAAGTAGATAAATTAATAATATATTTGTAATATCCTAATGAGTAGAAAAATTAGATTTTCTGACGTTTCGTGACTCAGTGTAAGCCACTTCTTCTCTGAAGAAGTATTACAAATATATAATTTATTTATAACAATCTACCCAATGCTCAATTTATTCAAAATTATCAGAGAAGGAGATAGTTAAGGTGGTCTGGTACGGATAGGTGATGTTGAGTGGAGTGTTCTGGAGGGTTGTCGTCGGTTGTAGTGGTCTCTGTCGACGGAAGCAGGCAGTGGGACGTATGCTGGTGGGCAGACATCGGATGTAGATGGCTCAGTGGGTTGCTAAAGAGAGGGCACTAGGCGTCTCAAGTGTTGAGAGGACATCGAATTTAGATCTTCTGGCGGGTCGACCTTGCTACGGAGGTTTGAGCGTCGGCAGACTCGACACCATAACAGGGAGTGTGTCACAGAATGCGGAAAAGAAGGAAGTTGAACGGTGAGCAAAAGGACCACAACATCGAATATATATAGAGGGGATAAGTGCAGTGTATGTTACCTATGTGGAAAGCCATAAGTAGTATGTAACACCAACCAGAAGTGGAATGCATGGCAGCAGAAGGCTAAGAAGGTCTAGTTGAAGAACACAGAAAAAGAAACAGAAATAAATCGTAAATTGGAGGAATAATGCAGAATATGATGGAAGATTTGTAAATGAAGTATTAAATTTATGGTTCTCATATTTTACCAAGATATTCTGAAATTTTGTGTTAAACAGTAAATCGGTCATCCTCACTTGAGCTATCGTTCACTTTTTGACTACACTTGCCCTATTCTGTTCATATTAACCATATGCTAACATCAAAAGACGTCTACCACCTGTTCACTGTGCCGAGACAATAAATTATTGTTGTAACCTTACCTCGAAGTACAAAAAGCCAAAATGGTGATAGTAATGACTGATAACTTTATCAGAACTTCCTCTAGATTCTCCCAACATTTCTTTGATGCAGCCCACAATAACTGTGAAAACCAAATGAACCAGAAGTTTAACTATCATTTTAGTCAATGATGATACAGCGTAAGACATGGGCCAATAACGAACCAAATTTCAGAGTAACAAATTCAGCTGCATCTAACTTACAAATTTTAAAGTCGTAATTCTTTGAAGTTTCTTTAGTTTAAACCGGATTTATGCCAAATTATTATTCAGTTATTCGATTCAGTCAACTCTCACAAATTAGTTAGTTACATAATGATTTGAAATATTGTTGAATTCATAACATGACTTACAATGATGAGCACATGACAAGAAACCTGAAATATTAATTTTTAACATATATTTCTGAGGGGACAGTATTATCAACTATGCAAGACAAATATACGCATATAGACAACTGTCGATACACAAAACTCGGTGAGACTAAACTATATGGACGAGCCAATCAGAAGCTTTCGCGGGTTTTCAAGGTCACGGCGCTAAGTTCGGTACCTGATGCTTACGTACGGTCGGTTTACAACGGATTTTAGAGAAGACATGATAATTCAGCGTCTACAAGAGAAGTGATCATGAGATTTTGGAACGAAATTCAATTATCCATTTGCATAAATAGAGTTTTGACATTATAGTTGATGAAAACCCTAAGTATAATTCCTAACCTTAACCATGAATTTTTGAGACCTTATCATGGTTCCAGAGGTCTACTATAGTCGTCCATAGTATACTATGGAGCCACATGGATGAGTTCCTGTACCGGATGCACTATGATTTTAGAACTTCTGAACCTATATCTAACCTTGATAAGTTTTTGAGTCATGTAAAAGAACAGTATTTCCTTTAATTTTTGAGTTTTGTATAATATATATTATAAAAATTTCTTGATAGATCCTCACAATAACATATTTAGTGGTTGCCAGTTAAATGTTAGCAGTCCGGTCAATCGACATCTAAATAATGTACATTCTTTTCGCTGCATATTTCCAGCAATCCTAAATATCTCTGATTAGGCTATTTTGTAATCTGCACAATGAAAGATTCTACACTTTTCAGAAATGCACATTAATAGATTGTGCGATTAATGACCATAATGATGAATTAAAACAAACAAAATTAGATAACTTGTTAAAATATCTAGATGATAGGAACAGGTAGCCCAAATGTTCAAGCAGGTAGCCAATAGCAAGTAACATAGAGATTATTGATAATTTCACATTGTTGGTTATTAATAATGATCGTAATGAGTAGAAATAAACTTCATTAGACGTTTTCACTAATTTATAAATTAAGAAAAATACCTAACATTTTGTTATTGCTGTACTGTTTAAAAAAGTTTAATCATATTCAAATTAATGACAAACTTACAATAAAATGCTTGGGGACCAACATCTATGCATTAGAATAAAATAATATTATTGTTAAGAATAGACTGATCAATTGCAGTCCTAAATATCAATAGGAAGATTCAAACAAACAATACCAAGTGAGTTTCAGCTTCCCTCCATCACATAAGCAATCGGCTATCAAGACTCAGTAGTTAAGTGGATAAGGTGATGGCGTTTAAAGCGAAAGGTATTGAGTTCGAGTCCCAGAGTGAACATCAACACTGAGATGCAGGTACATCCAGCTGACAAGTCCCAGATAGGACGAAACGCTCGTCAAACTGGATTCTACTGCTAGCTACTATCCATCTTTGCTTACAATGCTTGTGAAGTAAGGCTATATATAGAGGCAATACGCACAGTATGCATATATAATAATAAGAGATTAACCAGTTGCAGTCCTAAACATCAATGAGAAGATTCAAATAAACAATTCCAAGTGAATTTATTGTAAATTACGTTTTTATTAAGTTTCACCATGATAATGTCAACAGTTCATCATTATGACTAATGCAGTACGTTGAAACTGATGTTTTTCATAGTATTCATTATAAATCAAACTCCTAGCAATGGACTAATTTACTATAAGTTAATTAATCATCTGTCATATCTACAGCTTGGGTTTTTCTTATACCGACTACAACTTAAGCACCCGAACGTTTGAACCCTCATATCACGTTAGAATATAGATAACGAGTGAAGAAAGGAATCTTATTAAAACTAGTGTCAAATATGATATAAACAACTTGGACAACTAGTTTTTAGTTAGGGCGAAATCATCATTACAGTCATCCAATCCGCATTCAGTGGTCATTAGCATTTGTCCAATCAGAAAGCTACACGCACAGATTCTGTAATGCTCTTCCAAACTATGATTGAATGGAATGTCATCGGCTCTTTTAGAGCTTCTTTGACTTCATCGGATGCCGTTTTCACACCTTCTATTCAATGTCACTGACCAATGACCTAGTATCGCATTATTCCAGTAACATACAAATCCATGATCAGTGCATAATTATAGTCAAACACAATATTATTTCGAGAGCTAAAACTAGTCAAACTGGGTTTACCGTACATTAGATGTTGGAAATTAATGGACAACAACTTACTACGAGAACACAAATAAGAACCTGAATAGTGAAAATATTGATTACAAATTATCATTATTATTAATAGCTTTATTTAATATTATATTTTCGGTACAATATTGAATTCTCAGCACAATGTATTTCAGCAAGTTTCTGTTTCTTACTTCTTGATCGATCCTGATGACAAATACTTAGTGGTCGTCAGTTAGATGTTAGCAGTTTAGGAATCGATATCTGAATAATATTCATGCTTCTGAATGTATATTCCTTGTCAGTCACTACGATGTCTTTGATTAGGCTCTTTCGTAAATTGAACAGCGAAATGTCGTAAAATTCTCAGAAAAGCATCTGATTAAGTTATGCGACTAATAGGCATAATGATGTGTTAAAGCAAACAAGGGAACAAACAACTCGTTGAAATATCGAGATGACAGGAACAGATAGCCTAGATATTCAAGCAGGCCGCCTGTTATGTTATATCTTCAGTCAAAAGATGTTAATGATAAGGTTATAAGTAAGGCTGAATAAATTGATAGAATTAATGAATTCTTTCAAAACAAATACATAAATTCTATGAACCTTCCAGAGGTCATCAAAGAAATTGGACAATATGAAGATCATTTGAATAATCTGACTTTATGACGGACATATTGTTATGATGTATAACTTTCAATAGGTCCTTCGATAAAATCTTCCAAACAATTTTATTTCTTTACATTGACATTATAGTTAGGAAGTTAAGTATTATATTCCCTTGAATAACCTACACTGCCATTATATTATTAATAATATCATATTATTATGATGAACATATGCTAATTGGTAACTGACTATGCAATGGAATTACTGAAGTTATAGTTTGAAGTGCAAATCAGTGAAATTAATTCAGTAGGGGAAGTTATTGAGATTGTAATATTTTCAATAGTCGATCTAAGCTAAACCACCACCTTAGATAATGGATAAACGGTTGTGCAAGATCATCAATCGATCGAAGTTAGACGTTAACATCATTGGATGCCGGCTCGATGAGACTGAAGGCTCTGAGTCCGAGTTCTACGTGACAGATCATGAATGCGCGGTCGTCCAATACGTACAGGTTTTCAGTGATAGTCTAGTTTAAATCGACTCGTTAATTTATCTGTTAGAAATTAATTCGGTCATGAATTCAAAAGTACCTTTCTTTATTGGACATGTAATTCGTTATCCAAAAAATTAATTTCGGTCGAAAATATTGACCGTTTAATTTCAATACACATGGACTGATTATTTTCACAATTTTCATAGACCTAAACTTTCTATTATCGCTTTATTTTTATATTGTAAATGTTCAATTCTATAGTCCACTATAAGTACACAATTAAAACAAACAAAATTGTGATCCAACGTTATTCGTAGTAGGTATTTAGATTCATTCCCATCACGAATAACATTTAGATTATGTCACATAGTTGTAAATCTATAAACCTTGGACGCATTCAGTCATTATCATTGTTTATTAATGAACAAGTAATACTCTGCCCCTCAAATGTCCAGGTACGGCCGAGGGTGTAAAGAGTCAGCTCTCCCTTTCCAAATTCTCTCACATAGCCACGCGTATACAGCCACTGCCAAGAAAGTCTTACTCACTTCCTTCTCGCACCCCCGGTGTTGTTTACAAAATCGAGAGGACGAGAAGCGGATGTCCAGCACGTCGACCAGGTTGACAGATACGGAAGATCTGTCTCGGGGAGTTGGAAAACCCTGATCGCAAACCAATAGTGCACATGAGCTCCAGGATCCTGAAGGAATAAATGGAGTATGAACAAATTGTTGGTCAGCGGCTACCGTGTGACTGTACCTCCTTATGTTGTTCCACTGCCACGTGGATGAGACCTTTAAGTCGAAAGCTTCGGGTGTGGTCGCCTAAGTAAACCATCTGTTTCGACCTGTGACCCCGGGCAATATCACAGCCCACACACAAATCAAGTGACTTGTGTACTTACTTACTTACTTACGCCTGTTACTCCCAATCGAGCATAGGCCGCCGACCAGCTTTCTCCAACCCACTCTGTCCTGGGCTTCCTTTTCTAGTTCTATCCAGTTCTTGTTTATTCTTCTCATGTCTGTCTCTATTTCTCGGCGTAATGTGTTTTTTGGTCTTCCTC